CCCCATTTCGGCACACCCTTCACCCGCTTCGTGGCCCCATACATAGCATATTCTTTGGGCGGAGGGCAACGGGTGAAATCTGAAGTGCCGTTCCGATGGATGTTTGAGGCTTGAATCCGGCAAAAGGTGAAGCACAGGACGGATTGATTTTCGAAGTGGAATAGCCCATATGGATTTCACCTTGGGCCCTCCACCCTCAGGAAATGCTCCGCCATAGGGAGCTCCACCGAAGGCCCCAGCGGGAGGGTGCGCATGACACCGCCGCCCCATTTCGGCACACCCATCACACGTTTCGTGGCCCCACAGGGAGCTCCACCGAAGGCCCCAGCGGGAGGGTCCGCATGGCACCGCCGCCCCATTTCGGCACACTTCTCATACGTTTCGTGGCCCCGTAGGGAGCTCGACCGAAAGCTTCCGTGTAAGGGTCCGCATGGCACCGCCGCCCTATTTCGGCACATTTCTCATACAGTTCGTGGCTCCATAGGGAGCTCCACCGAAGGCCCCAGCGGGAGGCATGGCACCGCCGCCTCATTTCGGCACGCCCTCACCGTCTCGTGGCCCATAGGGAGCTCCACCGAAGGACCCAGCGGGAGGGTGCGCCTGGCACCGCCGCCTCATTTCGGCACACTTCTCACACGTTTCGAGGCCCCATGGGGAGCTCCACCGAAGGCTTCCGTGGAAGGGTCCGCATGGCACCACCCCCTAATTTCTGTACGCCTCTCACACGGTTCGTGGCCCCATAGGGAGCTCCACCGAAGGCTTCCGTGGAAGGGTCCGCATGGCACCACCCCTCAACTTCGGCACACCTCTCACACGGTTCGTGGCCCCATAGGGAGCTCCACCGAAGGCCACAGCGGGAGAGTCCGCGTGGCACCACCGCCCCAATACGGCACTCCCCTCATACGGTTCGTGGCCCCATAGGTAGCTCCACCGCGCTCAATGTCACGAGTGTTCAGAGTCTGGAAAGTCGTCACTCTCGCAAATTTTCGAAGCGTCGTTGTCAGCGGCTATTGTTTCTGGTTGAAGGAGGAGGCGGCGAAGGAGGATGATGAGGAGGAGGAGGAGGAGGAGTGAGGCGGCTGGATAAGGATGAGGATGGAGGTTTTGAACCCCTCCCTAGACGACGACGACGACGATCCCAGACCGTGAAATCCGTTCAACATCGGTCTTCGGATCGTGTGTTTCGAAAGTCCCGGGGCAGGTTTTCCCGAGTTCCTGGGGCATTTTCAAGCGCAATGCACGATCGTCGTTACCTTTGTTTGAACACCCCCCCAGAGCCTCCGAGGCTCCGGGTGGGGGGTCGAGGTCTGGCGTTTAGGGCAGTCTGTGTTGTTTCCCAACCATCCTGTGGTGTTGGGTCCTCGGTTTGAAGAGACGGTCCCCGCGTTCCTTCTTTTTTTCCTTTCCTTCCTTTCTTCCTTCCTGCCTTCCTCCTCCTCCCTCCTCCCATCCCTTGCCTCTGCACTCCGCATGTCTTCGTCGTCGTCTCCCCCACCCAGCACCGCGCTTCGCTGCTCCGTAGGGAGCTCCACTTAATGCCCCAGTGTCGGTGTCCACATGCGTCTCCCCCACCCAGCACGGCGCTTCGTCGCCCCAAAGGGAGTTCCACCTAAGGCCCCAGTGGCGGTGTCCACATGCGTCTCCCCCACCTAGCACCGCGTTTCGTCGCCCCAAAGGGAGTTCCACCTAAGGCCCCAGTGGCGGTGTCCACATGCGTCTCCCCCACCTAGCACCGCGTTTCGTGGCCCCATAGGGAGCTCCACCTAAGGCCCCAGTGGCGGTGTCCACATGCGTCTCCCCCACCCAGCACGGCGCGTCGCGGCCCCAGAGGGAGCTCCACCTAAGGCCCCAGTGGCGATGTCCACATGCGCCCCCCCCACGTGGAGCTCCACCTGACGCTCCAGTGGTATGTCCACATGCGTCTCCCCCACCCAGCACCGCGATTCGTGGCCCCGCAGGGAGCTCCATCTAAAGCTCCACTGGCGGTAACCACGTGCGTCTCCCCCACCCAGCATGACGCGTCGGGCCCTATAGGGAGGAGCTCCACCTAAGGCTCCTGTGGCGGTGGCCACATGCGCCTCCCCCACCCAGCACAGCGTTTCGTGGCCTCCTTGGGAGCTCCACCTAAAGCCCCAGTGGCGGTGTCCGCATGCGTCCCCCCCACCCAGCACAGCGTTGTGTGGCCTCAGAGGGAGCTCCACCTAAGGCCCCAGTGGCGGTGTCCACATGCGTCGCCCCCACCCAGCACGGCGCGTCGCGGTCCCAGAGGGAGCTCCACCTGAGGCCTCAGTGGCGGTGCCCACATGCGTTTCCCCCACCCGGCACAGCGTTGTGTGGCCCCATAGGGAGCTCCACCTGAGGCCCCAACGGCGAGTGGCGGTGTCCACATGCGTCACCCCCACCCAGAACGGCGCCTCGTCGCCCAAAAGGGAGCTCCACCCAAGGCCCCAGTGGCGGTGTCCACATGCGTCTCTCCCGCCCAGCACAGTTCTTCGTGGCCCCACGGGTGCTTTATCTAAGGCCCCAGTGGCGGTGTCCACATGCGCCTCCCCCACCCAGCACAGCGTTTCGTGGCCCCGTTGGGAGCTTTTACCTTAGGCCTCAGTGGCGGTGTCCACATGCGCCTCCCCCACCCAGGGAACTCCATCTAAGGCCCCAGTGGCGGTGTCCGCATGCGTCTCCCCCACCCAGGACAGCGTTCCAGGTCCCAGTGGCGGTGTCCACATGCGTCTCCCTTACCCAACACAGCGCTTCGTGGCCCCAGAGGGAGCTCCACCTAAGGCCCCATGTGGCGGTGTTTCGTGGCCACAGAGCGAGGTCCACCTAAGTCTCCAGTGGCGGTGTCCACATGCGTCCCCCCGACCCAGCACAGCGCTTCTTGGCCCCATGGTGAGCTCGACCTGATGGCCCAATTGCGGTGTCCACATGCGTCTCCCCCACCCAGCACCGCGCTTCGTGGCCCCATGGGGAATGCCACCTAAGGCCCCAGTGGCGGTGTCCACGTGCGGTTCCCCTCCAGTTCAGCATTTCGTGGCCCCGGAGGGAGCTCCACCGATGGCCTCAGTGGCGGTGTCCACGTGCGCTTCCCCTCCCAGTGCAGCATTTCGTGGCCACATAGGTTGCTCCACCGAAGACCCCAGTAGCGGTGTCCACATGCGTCTCCCCCACCCAGCACCGCGCTTCGTGGCCCCATGGAGAATGCCACCTAAGGCCCCAGTGGCGGTGTCCACGTGCGGTTCCCCTCCAGTTCAGCATTTCGTGGCCCCGGAGGGAGCTCCACCGATGGCCTCAGTGGCGGTGTCCACGTGCGCTTCCCCTCCCAGTGCAGCATTTCGTGGCCACATAGGTTGCTCCACCGAAGACCCCAGTAGCGGTGTCCACATGCGTCCCCCCCACCCAGCACAGTGTTTCGTGGCCCCATAGGTGGCTCCACATAAGGCCCCAGTGGCGGTGGCCACATGCGCCTCCCCCACCGAGCACAGTTCTTCGTGGCCCATAGGGAACTCCACCGAAGGCCCTAGTGGCAAAGTTCACATGCGTCCCCACCTCTCAGTATAGCATTGGTGGCCCATCGCAGACGATACCGAAGACGATACCCACAACGGCGGCACTCAAAAATGCATCTGGTTGGGTCCTTCGCCAGGCTAATTTTAACACATCGGTTTTACGTATGTTCCAGGAAGATTGTTTTTGTTGTTCGAACATTTTTGGTTTCTCAGAACATGTCGTGCTAGGACTATAGGAATGCCGGGACGGTCGGTCCCTGCTCAGAAGGTCGGCAGACAGGGGGTTCCGCCAGCGGAAGTTGGCGCGAGTGAGAGATGCGATCCAAGAGATGCCGACATACTTAAGGTCAGGGCTTCAGGGGTGAGCCGTGTCGAGGCTTCGAGTTACAAGCTCGCGTGTGCACACTTTAGGGTGTTTCTGGTTCACAGCCTCCCGCCCTCCCATCTTGAGAGAGCGAGAGAGTCCCATACAAGAGTGCCACTGTGGCGTCACAAGTCCATGATGGGAGGGGGGTGTCACGTTTGTGGGCTTTGTTCGGAGAGGGGCCAGTCGAGGTATCTCTGGCCCTTCTTGGCGTTTTTCGTCCTTCTGTTTTTGCCATGTTTTGCCTTCGGGAGACCTCGTGTCGCGACAGCCGGTCTCGCGTCGAGAAACAGGTCAGGAGGGAGGGTCCGGGGGCGGAGGGGGTGTCCGGGGGCCGATTCTGAGCGGATTTGGGCCGCGCGGGCGAGCCGCCCTGAGCTCGGCTGACTCTCCTCCGAGCGGGTTCGTCCGCTCAGGGCGGTCCTTGCCGTGGTCTTCCGAACGCGCCCCGCCCGCACCCTGTTTGGGCTAAAGGGCTAGTGCTTCGGTGGGTCATGCGTGGGGTGTATGCTGCAGGCGAGGCGAACGTCCCTGCGGGTGGTTACCTCACAAAGCATCGCTCGAAGTGAAGGGTGAGATCATGTCGAAATTCGGGAGCCAGGGAAAAGGGCAGTTTCCCAGCAAGGTGGCTGACGTCGTCCCCACCCCGCGCCATCGTCCTCATTGTTTGTTTGTTTTTTGTTTGAGTGTCTGCTGTTACATTTGTTGGTGTTGCTTGTTTCATCCTCTTGCTCGCGGAACAGATCCTTCTGGATCGCAGAGCGAGGAGGAGGAGCACGGCGAGGGTGAGACACGAGGACGAAACCGCACTCGCTCACTTGCACTTAATACGGGAAGGTGCTGCGTTACATCCCTTGAAGAAAGGTCCGCATGGACCTGCGACATGTTGTGCTTGTGCAGTTGTCGTTGGTTCGGTTTTGTTGTCTTTACAGCCATAATGTGCATGTATATGTATATACGGTTGGGGGCGTTGGTTAAGGGATGTGCCCAGGAGGCTTCCGACCCTGGGGCATTCGTTACCTGATGAGGGCCGCCGTTCAATCCATGGCCAAGCCACGATTGGAGCTCCACCGGCTTCCAGGCCCTCGGCTCTTTACCCAACGCTTCCTTATCCAACGCCCTCACCGTAGGCAACAGGGAGAAAAGGAAGGACGGGCACGAGGACGAGGCGATGAGCATCGAGGAACGCGAGGTGACGAGCATCGGGGAGCGCCTTCTCTTCCTTCATTCTCGCCCCCTCCTCCTCCTCCTCCTCCTCCTCCTCCTCCTCCTCCTCCTCCTCCTCCTCCTCCTCCTCCTCCTCCTCGTGCCCTCGCCCTCGGTGCACGAGGCAGGACGAGAGCCGCCCCCTGTCCGACCGCCTCCCCGCCGCGGCCCGGGCCGCCCCTCGGAGGCAGGTGCTGCGCCGGGAGAGGCCGTACAGGGAGGTGCCCTTGCCTGGTCAGGGGCAACGATAGGGGGGGGGCATACAGTGGGGCTGCTGCGCATCGAGAAGACATTTGCTTTTCGACAGGGCATCCTGGGCTTCCTCGCTCCGCGAGCTGCGCGGTGACCTCCCGCAGCCGCTGGAGAGTCTGGTGCGTTCAGGGTGCTTTGGGTTTCCCCTCAGATGCACCTCGCGTGCGGGCATTCAGGGTTGGGTTTCTTGCGAGGGTTTCTTGTGGCCGCGCCCGTACTGTAGGGGGGGATGCATCGACCCCCAATCGCCCATTGATCGCCGATAGGGCTCTGATCGCCCCACCCCTCCGAGGAAGGTGCGGATTCGCCCTCGGAGGCCTATCGCCGATCCATCGGCGATGTATCGCCGATTCCAGGTCGATGTTTGCGCCCCCCTCCTATGCCAGTCCCCCCCTTATCGTTGTCCCACACCTGAGTCAGAGACGTCACGGCCACGCGCAGAGGGGGTAAGGCTGCGTCTTAGAAGGGTAGCTCACAATGGATTATTCCGCTGGGGAAATAACCCCCAAGCATTACCCAGCCCGCCCAACAATAGAGGGACAATAATCTCCACCGCCGCCGCGACGAGGAGGTTTTAGGACCAGTGTTATTCACCGCCGAGAGATCAGGGGTGGGTTCAAAACTAAATACCCTTCGCGATTATCAACAGTCGGAATTGATTAGTAGGTCGGACTTCCCTGCGGTCGACATCTTCGTATCTACATTCCACTGCACCTGGCGGCGGTCGTTTACCAAGAGGGCATCCGACAGCGTGGCGCAGCAACTGGGAAGCACTGACAGAGCAAGGCACGTCAGCAGCCTACACGCAACTGCTTTAGAATTTCTACTGCCACCAAACGGCTTCGGTGAGAACCGACCGCAACAGCCGGGCCTTTAGGATCCGACGCGGGACGAAACGAGCAGACCCATAGAGTCATCTGTTGCCCAACCGTTCCTCCGAACATATCAGCGGCGGGTCAAGCGGATCTGGGCCTCGAAGAACATGGATATCTGCTTGGAGACGCACACCAGCGACCGCCTTACAAATCTTCGCTTTGCCGATGGCATTATTCTTGTCGATGGAACGCTCGATCACGCAAAAGAAATGCTGGGCGACTTGATCACGGAGTCACAAAACATTTGCTTTTATCTTCACCCATAAAAACCGAGCATCCTTCACAACGGACTCACGGGACTCCAGCCATCCAGAACATGACGACCACCATCACATGTTGACGTGCATGGAGTGCGTATTCAATTCTGTCCACCTTTTTCGGGCACCAAGCACGTGGGAAGATAGTTACGGCTTGATTTTCTCACGACAGAGATGGATAATCGCATCGCCACGGCACGGTGTACATTCCATGCATAGAAGACCGAACTCACAAGCAACCGCTAACCCCTAAACAGCCAGCTCAAGCTGTTGCATGGCACGATCACGCCAACGGCTCTGCACGGATGCGAAGCGTGGCAAACGACAATGAAGTTGGAGCGACGGCTGCAGAACACTCAACGGCGGGTGCTCCGGATATTGCGGGTGCCGCGACGCACAATTCACGATGCTAGACCGATTCAACAGCGCTCCACTTGCACCGACGTCTCGTCAGGCATCAGTATCCACGTCGACAGTCACAGCCGCGAGTCCGAAGCCAGTGACAGCAACGACGATGATGCCCCCCCGCCGTCTCCGCCGCCATGCGATATGCCCAAAGCGGAAGTGGAGGAGTCTAGGGCGGATTGGATACGCCGCTCCACGCGCGCTGTAACGGCTGGAGTTCCACGGGTGGCAAACAATTTCACGGCGGCACAAGTGGAGGTGGGTGCGGCGCTTCGTAGCAACAACAGGAAAAAGGGTGCATGGGCAAAGCTTGCTTTACAATGAACACCAACATTTTACCTCAGGAACATAACAGCACGCAGAACCGGAAGGGCCACGCAAAGATGGATAGACGATCTACGGCAGTCTGCACGTGCAGCGTGCGACGATACAACAGAAGGGCTATCACATGTCATTGGTCCATCATCTTCTCCTTCGTCATCCTCTCTGGCTCCTTCCCAAGTGCTTGGCATTGCGGCCACGACTATTTGGGAGATCCATCGAGGATGGATTCGCACGCCGTCCGTAACCACCTGTCCGATTCCAGCTCCCGGGCTTCCCACTCAGGCGTCACCCCTTCCGACTCCGATTCCCTTTCCCCCGACTCCAGCATCCTACTTCTCCGACTCCTGCTTCCGTTTCTCCGACTCCAGCTTCGTTTTCCCAGAATCCCGTCTCTCCGATTTCCTTTCCGGTTTCCGGTTTCCAGAACCTTGTGTCTCGGACGCCAGGTCTTGCCTCTCCGATTCCGGCTCTTGTCCTTCGACTCCGGCCCCGACGCCCGCTCACACGCCTCCGACCCAGGCTCCGTGAAAAACCCGACTGCACCATCTCAGCGGCCAGCCCATCCTATACCAGCGCCTCAGCGCCCGTCCGCTGCTCCCGCGTAGGTGCTTTCTGTGCGGGACTCTCTGTCCCAAATCAAGGGTACCAAGGTGTCCTCTGCATCGCTTGTCGTGTCTTGTGCATCGCGTGTCGTGTGCGGGGGGGGCGGGGGGAGCGCCGTGCGATGCATTTTCCGCAGTGGGCGGCGCGGCCGTTCGGATAATTTTGGGTTCCTTTTCCGACATGCTCCTCTCTTCGCGGGGCTGCGGGGCGGCCGCGGGTGACCGCGGTCGCGCCCTCGGCAGGGTACCTTTTGTGTCTTGCGGCGTCTGGAGGCCATCGGAAGAGTTTTTTGGTTCTGTGCAATCAATTCCGACCGTATACATGTAGGGCCCGCCGCTTTTGGAAGCAGCCTCCTTTTCGGACGCCTTCCCCCCGCCCCGCACCCTCCTTCTGCGCGCCGCCAACCTGGCCTGGGACGCCGTTGAGATCCTGGCGTTGCATTTTCGTCACAACGTGCGGATTGCTGCTTTACTTCGGACCTGGGGCCCTCGCAGACTGATTTGGCCCGACATGCCCCAGAAGGATAGGTTTTGGGTCCCAGTCGTGATTGCTGCGATGCTGCATTATTTTCGCAACGTCGGATTTCAGGGGCAGTGTACATAAGTTTCTTTGACCCCGTCTCTGTACATGGCGATTTGATCCGTACCATGCATCGCTCCGCTCTGGCTTCGGTCCCATCGTCGGCAGCAGGTTCTGCGCTGGGAGAGGCCGTACAGGGAGATGCCCCTGGCCTGGGTCAGGGACCAGCTGCAGGCGCCCAACTGGCGGATCGAAGGGGGCTGGGAGGCTGCGTTGGCGGGAGGGATTCGGATTCGCGGTGTATTCAGAGCTGGTGATTCTAGCTTCTTTGGAGGAGGGGGAGGAGGAGGAGGAGCGCAATGCGAACTCCAGCTCTCCAGCTCACAGAAAGGGCTATGACCTGGAAGGCGCCGAACAGAAGCTTTAGCGCCAAGATTGCTATCGCACATTGTCCACGACCATGTCCTACTGGCGGCGGGAGGGAGGATCCGCCATCAAGCGAAGAGGAGCTTAAGAGACCTCCTCTTGCTCTTCCTCCGTCTCCTCCCCCTCCTCCTCTTCCTCCTCCTCCTCCTGCTCCTCCTCCTCCTCCTCCTCCTCCTCTTCCTCCCCCTTCCCTCCTCCCTCTTCCCCTCCCCCTCCCTCTCCGCCTCCCCCTCCTCCAGAGGGAGGTGAGGAGGAGGGAGAGGCTTCCTTACATTATTTCGGCAAGACTCTTATTTCTCGAAGAAGAGACGTTCCATGAACATGGACTTTCGCAGGTCCGCGCGGTGTTGGTGGATCTTCGCTGGACACCCCTGGCGGCGCCACCGGTGCCTCCGCGCGCCAGGGAGGAGGTGTCCAGTTCCGATCCAAGACGTCCGCGCGGATCTCTGACAGGTTATGTGCATTCACCGTGTGTGTTTGTGGCCCCTCTAGCCTCTAGCCCTTTCGGTTCGACGCGTTCCAATCTCGCGCCTTCGTGAAGCTTTTGCGAGGGCTGGGGCGCATCGTGTTATTGCGTCGTGCCATCAGACTCCGCAGCTCCGATCGGAGCAGGGCGCACTCCGATGCGGGCCAGCTGGCCGTGCAGGAAGGCAGGGAGGGACGGGGAGGAGGATAAGGAAGGGTGCCGCTCGAGAGCATGCAGGGAGGCGCCCTTGCCCTGGGGGCCGTCCGCAGAGCGCACGTCAAAGCAAGCAACAAGCGGATATACGGTCCGGGGCCGGCCAGCTGCAGGCGCCCGCGCCGTCTACCAACACCAACAGCGGCGGCGTGCGAGGATAATCCGCTGGGGCCTGACAAAGTTGTAGGTGTGGGGCCCGGGGAGCTGGGCACCCTAGCGCCATCGGCCGAAGGACCCGTGTCGCGGGACATTTTGTTACTTCGGTTAACCGCCACAGAAGTCGTAGGTTTAATGCAGGCCGCGCAAACACGCCAAACCGAAAGTGCAGCGTGCCACTCGCGCGCGCCGAAGGTACTGTGCGTTCCAGAACGCTCGCAGAGCGTTTCGGATCGCTCTGAGAAGGCCGCGGCGCTCGAGGCATCCTCCATAACTGCCAGACCTCAGGGACTCTCGATTTTTATCCGCACCCGAGTTTATGTTTATCCTCGTAGGGTTGCGAAGGGGAGGAAGAGAGGGATCGCCGACCAGTTCGTGTGCGCAGACCTGCGCGATCCATTGCCGTTGGACGTGACTGCTGCCGCCGGCGCCAACACGCGGCAATGCAGCGAGTGGCACATGGCTTCGGATTTTTGTAGGGCTTCGGCGACGGTGGTAGTATTAGGGCTTCCTCGGCGGCCGCAATACCACCACCACCATCACCACCACCACCACCACCACCACCACCACCACCACCACCACCACCACTAAAATCTAGGATCATCCTCCCCCGCCGGACGCACCCCTCCATCTTTGCGGTGGTGCTCATTACTCGGCTACACGTAGGAGTGACCTTTCGCTGGAGTGACCTTGAATGCGGGCACATTGGGGTCCCCAGATGGCTGAATACGACGTGGTAGCAGCAGCTTCCGCGCTCGGGTTTGTTACCCCCGCGCCCCCCCGAAAGGCCCGCCCCAGAGGTCATTCTTGCCCAGGGTCACTCTTGCGCGCAGCTGGACTTCCAAGCCTCCAAGGTCGAGTCTCAGGCGAGGATATTGAAAGCGCATGCATGCTTGGTCTCCTTGGGGCTCCCAGGCCCCCTCGCGTAGTGAGAATTTCAGGTCGGATGGTTTTTGGCAGTTTCCGGCTGCTCGGGGCTGCTGCTGGGACCTGCACAGAGTCAGAAGAGATCTTGGGCGAACAACTTGCCCCAGGGAAGGGCTTGATCGATGATCCTCAGGACGCCTGTTAGCACAGTTTGTACGTGTGTGCGTGTAATTCGTAGGCTCGGTGGCCCGCGCTGCGTGGCCTCCCATGTGGTGTCCCGTGTGGTTGACCGTATGGGGTTCCACATGATCTCCCGTATGGTCTCTCGTGCGGTCTTCCGTAGGGTCTCCTTTTCTATGGTTTCACTTATGAATTCTCTTACGGTTTTCGTTGTGATCCCTCTTACTATGTTCCTTCTGGTCCCCCCCCTCCCCTGAGACCCCCCCCGCCCCCCCTGCTTTCATTCCCCGAGGCCCGCGCAAGACTTGTTCGCAGCCAGGCGATCCAGCGCTGCTCCCGTCTTGGCAGGAAGCGCACGCGGCCTGTATGAGGGAAACGAGTTTTGGGCCCCTGGGCCTCACCCAACTCCTGCGGGACGGTTTGGAAGGTTTCTTGAAATTCTCATGTCGGTTTTTGTTGTTCTGTTGTGCTCCACCGAGGCCCTCTTGAACCATCACGGGCCCAGAGGCCCTGGACAACACACGCACACAACAGGAAAACGTTAAGAACCAACAGATGTCCGAGTTTCTTTGAAAGACTGTGATGGCCTTACTGCCGGTGCCAGCGACCCTGAAGGCGGGACCTCCCCCTGAGACCCCCGCTGGCGCCCTTGCTGGCGGCATTCTGAGCTGGGACCCCCCCACACCACAGGCAAGACCCCTCCCGGGACCCCCGCTGGCGACCCCCCAAAGAAGGTGAATTGTCCCGCTGCGCACCTGCAAGGGGGACCCCGCCCCCCTGGACCCGCCAGGATCCCGGGAACGCAGTAGATCTGACCCAGGACCCCCCCGCGTACCCCTCCCGTCACTCCCCCGTGCCCCCCCTCTACCACCCCCCGTACCCCCCCCTCGTCAGGGTCAGGGAGGGGAAAAAGGGAAGGGAATCGACTTAACTTCGACGCTGCTTTTCTCTGTTCGTTCCTTTCTCTTTTAGTGCTGGCGACGACGACGACGACGAAAAAGACGAGAAAGACGAAAAAGACAACGGAAACGACGACGACGTCCCACACTGGCCGAGGGGTCCGCGGATTTCGGTTTTCTTTTGTGACACCCAGGCCAGTGTCCTGTCAATGCAGGGAGCCCGCAAAGGGCGAGCAACCCCAGGGGCCAGACCCCCCATGGACCGCGTGCATGAGGGGCGTTCTGACGCGGATGCCCCGCGCGCGCGGAGCGTATCCACCATGCGACCGCGTATCCACGGCATCGCGCCCCAGCATCCAGACCGCGAGGGCGTGAACGTGATTACGTTCGCCGCTCGTGACCGTCATGGCGGCCCTCCCTCTCCACCTCCCGGGCCCAGCTGAACCCTGCGTGCGTCGGTCCCCGCGCCGGTCCCCGCGCGCGCGGAACGTATCCAAGCGACCGCATATCCAAGGGATCGCGCTCGGAATCCAGACCGCGAGGGCGTGGGCATGGATACGTTCACCGCTCGTGATCTTCATGGCGGCCCTCCCTCTTCGCCTACGGGGCGCAGACGAACCCTGCGCGCCCCCGTCCCCCCCCCCCCCCCGCATCCTCAATCGCCCGGCGGTTGCCAGGGCTGCGGCCTCCGGGTGGAGGTCGAGAAGGAGTTTCCCCGGCGGCTGAACGTGGAGAAGGTCCTCCTCGACCTCCTCATCCTTGCCCTCCTCCTCCTCCTCCTCCTCCTTCTCCTCTTCATCACTCCCTCGTCCTTCTTCTCTTACTCTTCCTCCTCATCTTCCTCACTCTCGTCCTCCTACTCTTCTTCCTCCTCTTCCTCCTCCCCTTCATCACTCCCGTTTATGCTCCTCCTCCTCCTCCTGCTCCTCCTCCTCCTTCCCCTCCTCCTCCTCCTCCTCCTCCTCCTCCCTCTCCTCCTCCTCCTCCTCCTCCTCCTCCTCCTCCTCCTCCTCCTCCTCCTCCTCCTCCTCCTCCTCCTCCTCCTTGCGTTGAGCAAACGTGGCGCACGAGTCCTCCTCCTGGCTCCGTTTCCTGGAAGATGTGGCGCTTCCCCCGAGGAAGTAGCGACTCCCCCCCCCTCAGTGGCGACCCCCTGGCCCCCCCCCCATGTCGCCTGCCATGACTTCTTCTCTCGCGGTGTTCCCCCCCACCCCATCCCCCTGTGGGGTCGGGCGAGCGGGGGGGGGATCGGGAAAGGGTCGAGTAGGGGAGCGAATGCCTACAGAAGCAAGTTACCCCCAATTTGATTGTCTCGCCAGATGTACAATTACTCGCCAAATTCACAACTACACTTCGTAGTATGTTCGCAGATCTACGAACATTCAACGTACATTCCGCAGATTCGACTGACAACTCATTCTTGGGGGAAATCAATTCTTCACACATCGCGTACCCCCACCGGCTTGTTGCTCGCTGCTTGCGACTTTCTGACGGCGTGCGGCTGTTCCGTACCGCTCGCGGGCAAAAGTATCCCCACCAGCGTTCCTCCGAGAGCGTCGCGCGGCCCGCACCGGCTAGTCTCACCTCCCGCTGCTCTCTTCTTGGTCTTTCTTTTTGTTTCTCTCTTTCCCGTGTGCTATTTAGGCTCATGCTTGTAAGCTGTAGCTTTGGACGGCGCGCGGCCCTTCCGCTTGCGCTCGCGATCAAAAATAATCCCCACCAGCCCATTCAGAGACCCTGACCTTGAGAGCTGACGGGAAAAGGGACGAAGAGACACATCGAGTGAAACAACGCGAGCAACCAGGCTGAACAAAGAGATCTCTGGGAGCAACAGGGTGGCCTTGGACAGCCTCTCGGGGCAGCGCTCTTCGGGCTCTCTTAGGGGCCTCTTGGGAGCCCTGGAGGGCCCCTTGGGGCTGTAGTAGAGGGCGTCGGTGAAAAGAGGGGGGGTCCTAACGTTTGCCTCCCCGCCCCCCCCCTCTGGGCCATCAACATAGGACGCTGTTGGCCCCCTCTTGGGGCGCTCTTGGGCGATCTTGGGGCCGTTTTGGACAATTTCGAAACCTCAGAAGCGCATCGGCAGCGAAACTGCGAGAAGGCACGCATCATTGATCCCCCTTCGATTTTGAAGGGACTGGCTTTTCGGGGAGATCCTGATGGATCTTCGAGTGCACCTGGAACCGTTTTGTGGCCTTCTTGGTGCCTCTTGGAGGCATGTGGGAAGCTGTTTTGAAACATATTGTAGTGGCCTTCGGCCAGTGCCGCCGATCCGGGTCGCTCGGATACACATATTACGCGGACACCTCACGCACGCACGCGACCAAATGCACATACGGCAGACACACATACAGAGACACACTAGGCGCACGCCAGACACTAGCACGCACAGACATTCGCAGACACGCACCACACACAGACACTCGCACAGGAGCCTGTCAGGGCGTCGAGGGGGCTTCTTGGGGGCTTTTGGGGGCCCTCTTGGGGCCTCCTGGGGGCCTCGTGGGCTGGAAGGCTAGATTTTTTTCGCTTTTCGTCCCTCTTGTGGGTCCTCTTGGGGCCGTCTTGGGGGCCTCTTGGGCCGTCTTGGGCGGCTTTTGGGCCGCCTTGGGGCCCTCTTGGGCCGTCTTGGGACTGTCTGGGGGCCTCCTGGGCCGTCTTCGAGCGGTCTTGGGGGCCTCTTGGGCCGTCTTGGAGCGCCGGAAAGCTGAAAAAAGCGACAACCCCAACAACATGAGAAAAAAACAATGGGAATCAACGATTTTTGCCTCTGGGGGCCCTCGTGGGAGGCCTCTTGGAGGCCTCTTCAGACGTCTTGGAAGGCTCTTGGGCCGTCTTGGGGCCATCTTGGGCGTGTTCGGGCGATCTTTCGGGGTCTCGGGACTTTCTTAGACCGTCCTCAGAGACTTTTGCGGCCGCGGCCACCCTTTTAGCGCATCCTCGAGATTAGAGCCTTCTGTAAAAGCAGCCCCCCCGCATCCGCCGGAAACTCGCACCCCCCCCCCCATCCCCCCTTCCCCGGCAGAGCCACCCCGGCAACCCCCCCAGAGGCTGAGGCTCAGCCTCGAGGCTGTAGCTGAGACTCCTTGAAACTCACACGCCGGATCGGCGGATTCGGCTGTTTTGGACCATCTTGGAGGCCATCTTGGGCTCTCTAAGGTTATCTTGGGCCATTTTGGGCGCTCTAACCCCTCGCTGCTCCCCCGGTCCAGTTCCAGGGTAGGGGGTAGGGGGTGGGATCAAGCTACCCACCCGCCCGCAAGCCGTCTAGCTCACTCCCACGCGCCCTCCCAACACAGAATAGCCCGAGCCTGAGCATATTCAGCGGTCGTCTTTGGATGGGCAGCTATTGCATTGAGAACCAAAGCCGGTCCCAGGTGCGCGACACTTGAGCGAGGTGCGCCATGCGTGCCAGGGCGTCACGCGCGCCAAGCACCTCTGGGGCCCGAGCGTGACAGGCACGCCTGGTGCGCGAGATGCGCCACGTGCTCCGAATGCGCCAGGTGTGCCGCACACTCCAGCCGCGACAAGTGCGCCACGTTCGGGGCATGTGCAAAGTGCGCCAGGTGCGCCTGCGCACGTGATAGGACACATCGCGAAACATGTCGGCCCCCGCCATTACTGTCGAAAGCCAATGCCCATCATTGTGTCTGGTGGGCCTGCGCACAGCAGGCCACGCGCCACCACCCCCGCCATCCCTGTCCAAACCCACTGGACACTGATCGCGGGATGGCCGCGCATGATCCAGATTGAGCCGCGATGTGCATATTGTGTTGTTGTTTTTTTGTCAGGGATGGTAGCCCTGCGCACAGCAGGCCCTATGTTGACACCCCCGCCGTCCATGTCAGAACTATACAAAATGCTCGCGGGCCTCACGAACATGACTCAAGACTTGCCCCAAAGTGTACTTAGCATTGTTTGGTTGACAGGGATGGTGGGGGGTGGCCGCATCGGGTTGGCCACGCATGATCCACATCTGGAGGCACAGTGCGTTTTTCCCTACCTAGGCTCTGCCTAGAAGGGTTCTTTCTCGCTTGGCTTAAAGTGGCTGGGCAGTGCAACCCGCCCTGGGCGGTTTCCCCGGTCCCCTGGGAGCCAAGCAAAGGCAACAGCAAAGGTAAAAGCAAACGCGCGGTTCCCCCAGTTGCGGTCCCTGGGTGCCAAGCAAAAGCAAAGGCAAAAGTGCCGGCAAAAGCGAAGGCAAAGCAAAAGCATAGCTTAGCATAGCATAACATAGCATAGCGCAGCATAGCATAGCGCAGCATAGCATAGCATGGCATAGCATAGCATAACCTAGCCCAACATAGCATAGCATAGCATAGCATGGCATAGCATAGCATGGCATAGCATAGCATAGCATAGCATTGACACTACTACTACTACTACTACTACTACTACTACTACTACTGCTACTATTTCTGCTACTACTACTACTACTACTACTGCTGCTGCTGCTGCTGCTACTACTACTACTACTACTACTACTACTACTGCTACGACTTCTACTACTACTACTACTACTACTACTACTACTACTACTACTACTACTACTACTACTACTACTACTACTACTACTACTACTACTACTACTACTACTACTACTACTACTACTACTACTACTACTACTACTACGCTACTGCTACAACTACGACGATGAGGAGAAGGAGGAGGACGGCGTTTACCGCTCCTACTAATGTTGCTTTCCTAGAGGCTCCAACTCCTAGGTAGGGTCGCACTGGGATAATTTTCATTTTTATGACTGGGATGGTGGGGGGCGGGCCCGCATGGGTAGGGGAGGGTCAGCGTCTTTCTCAGCACAGTGTTTCTTTTGATTCCGGCTATTCCCAACTGCTTGCGCATCAGAGGAGGGAGGGCTTCACGGACTACTTCTGGCTCTCTCCACAGGGTTGAATGGCTGTACTGTGAAGGGCAGTGAAGCAGAGAACAGCATGCGCTAATTACGTGATCCGCGATGCCGTACAATGGTACACCGTAAGTGCAGCAAACACGACGCACGCCATCATTGTATACGTTCCCTCCTGCAGTTCGGGGAGTCAGGAGGGCGAGGAAGAGGAGGAAGCCAACCTAGAAGGATCCAGAGGGAGGGATGAGGACAGTACGTTGAGGAAGAGGCGTAGATGGCGGAGGGAGAGGAGGAGCAAGAGAGGAAGAGGACGATGATAAGTAGCAGTAACGAGAGGAGGCGGCGGAGGAGAAGAAGGTGGAGTGGAAGGTGGAGGCCTAGGGGGAGGATGAGGACGATGAGGAGGAAGTGACGATGACGATGTAGATGATGATGATGATGATGATGATGATGATGATGATGATGATGATGATGATGATGATGCTGATGATGATGATGATGATGGTGATGCCGATGATGATGATGATGATGCTGATGAGGACGATACTGATGGTACTGATGCTACTGATGAAAGCGATTGTGATGCTGATGACGATGATGCTGATGATGCTGCTGATGATGATGATTGTGACGGTGATGTTACTGATGCTGATGATCGTGATGTTGATGATGAGAATGCTGATGCTGATGATCGTGCTGATGATGGTGAAGATGCTGATGCTGATGTTGATGGTGGCGATGCTGATGATGGTGATGATGATGAGGAGGAGGAGAATGATCACGAACATCATGATGATTATGGTGATGCTGCTAATGACGATGATGATCGTTATGGTGATGATGATGAGTATGAATCTGAAGCAGATGATGGTGCTGATGATGATGAGGATGAGGATGATGCTGGTGATGATGATGATGACGACGATACTGTTGATGTTGATGATGACGATGATTCTGGCGACGACGGTTCGGCTGTTGATGGTGACTAGGATGATGGTGGTAGGGAGGAGGAGGTTGAGGATAATGATTCGGATGAGGATGGCTATTCCGCTGTTTATGATGATGGTGATGCTGATGACAATGCTGATAATGATGATGATCACGATGGCTGTGTCCCTGATGATGATGTTGAGGATCACGATGTCGGTGGTTGTGGTGGTGATGATGCTGCTCCTCATGCTGATGACGATGGTGATTATGATGATGGTTGTGGTTGTGGTCGTGATGAAGATGCTGGTGGTAATGGTGGTCATTGATCGCTCACTCTGGAAGATCTTTCGTTATCACCCGACAGGACGATGACGACTTCCTGGCGATGGCGAGAGGGAACAGCTGAGGGCAGGGGAGGAGCAGCGGGAGGGGAAGTAGGAGGATGAGGAGGTGGAATGACGCAACCGCCAAGATACTTGTATGGCCCACGTAAAGAGGAGGAGGTGGAATACCCAGACCTCGAAAGCTGTTTTTCCCTACCTAGGCTCTGCCTAGAAGGGTTCTTACTCGCTTGGCTTAAAGGGGCCGGGCAGTGCAAACCGCTCCGGGCGGTTCCCCCAGTCCCCTGGGAGCCAAGCAAAAGCAACAGCAAAGGTAAAAGCAAACGCGCGGTTCCCCCAGTTGCGCCCCCTGGGTGCCAAGCAAAAGCAAAAGCAAAGGCAAAAGTGAAGGCAAAAGCGAAGGCAAAGCAAAAGCATAGCATAGCATAGCATAGCATAGCGCAGCATAGCATAGCGCAGCATTAGCATAGCATAGCCTATCCTAGCCCAGCCTAGCCCAGCATAGCATTGCGCAGCATAGTATAGCATAGCATAGCAGAGCAGAGCATAGTATAGCATAGCATAGCATAGCGCAGCACAGCATCCACTATTGCTGCTGCTACATATATATATATATACATATATACTTATACATGTGTGTGTGCACACGTATGCCTGTCACGGCGATGTGTGTACTGCTGGTTATTCGAAACAGTCCCTGCGCGCCAAGAGTGGCTCGGGCGACTCCACGACAGCGGGGAGGTTGTGGTCACACCATTCTGGTGTGAAACCGCATATTCCAGCGCCGATGATGCCCGCCGAAACAATGTTGAACAGCTTGTTGAACCGATCTGGGAGTTGCTGCTGCTGTACAGTTTCGTAGGAACGTTCGGTATAGAACGTGTTGCACAACCTTGCTCAATGCCAAGTCGTGCGGTGTAGGCCGGATCCGGCGCATTCTCAAGCACACCCGGTGAGCGAATGCAAAAACATGCGTGTGTGTGTCTGTGTGCAGGCCAAGCAAAAGCAAACCAAGCAAAGACAAAAACAAGAGCAAAGCACAAACAACAGCACAAGCAACAGCAAAGGCAAAGGCAAAAGCAAAGACGAGAGCAAAAGCAAAGGCAATGTAAAGCACAACCACAACCAATGCAAACGTGTAGATGTAGATGTAGGTATAGGTGTAGATGTGGATGTAGGTGTATATGTAGATATAGATGTAGGAGTAGATGTCGGTGGAGATGTAGATGTAGAGGTGAGTCTCGCTGTCGATGTAGATGTAGATGCAGGTGTAGATATAGATATAGCAGTAGGTGTCGATGTGGAAGTAGGTCTAGGTTTAGATGTAGGTCTCGATGTATATGTAGGTGCAGATATAGATGTAGATGTAAAGAACTTCCCAGTGCCTGGCCCTCATCTCCGTGCCTGCTTGCTTTTTGCTGCTGTCTCGGCGACTTGCTGCCTGCTTTTGCTGCTGCTTCACTTTCGGCGTGGCGTCGGCGGTTCTGGCGCTACTACTACTACTACTACTACTACTACTACTACTACTACTACTACTACTACTACTACTACTACTACTACTACTACTACTACTACTACTACTACTACTACTACTACTACTACTACTACTACTACTACTACTACTACTACTACTACTACTACTACTACTACTACTACTACTACTACTACTACTACTACTACTACTACTACTACTACTACTACTACTACTACTACTACTACTACTACTACTACTACTACTACTACTACTACTACTACTACTACTACTACTACTACTACTACTACTACTACTACTACTACTACTACTACGTACTACTACTACTACTACTACTACTACTACTACTACTACTACTACTACTACACCACTACTACTACTACTACTACTACTACTACTACTCCTACACTACACTACTAACTACCTACTACTATTACGACTACCTACTACTACGACTACTCTACTACTACTACTACTACTACTACTACTACACTACTACTACTACTACTACTACTACTACTACTACTACTACTACTACTACTACTACTACTACTACTACTACTACTACTACTACTACCTACTACTACTACTACTACTACTACTACTACTACTACTACTACTACTACTACTACTACTACTACTACTACTACTACTACTACTACTACTACTAACTACTACTACTTACTACTACTACTACTACTACTACTACTACTACTACGACTACTACTACTACTACTACTACTACTACTACTACTACTACTACTACTACTACTACTACTACTACTACTACTACACTAATACTACTACTACTACTACTACTACTACTACTACTACTACTACTACTACTACTACTACTACTACTACTACTACTACTACTACTACTACGACTACTACTACTACTCTACTACTACTACTACTACTACGACTCTACTACTACTACTACTACTACTACTACTACTACTACTACTACTACTACTACTACTACTACTACTACTACTACTACGCCTACTACTACTACTACTACTACGACTACAACTACTACTACTTGAACTACTAGAACTACTAGAACTACGACTACTACTACTACTCCTATTACTACTACTACTACTACTACTACTACTACTACTTCTACTAATAAAACTACTACTACTACTACTACTACTACTACTACTACTACTACTACTACTACCGCTACTGCTACAACCGCTAGGACGGCGTTTACCGCTCCTACTAATGTTGCTTTCCTAGAGGCTCCAATTCCTTGGCAGGGTCGCGCTAGGATAATTTGACAGCGAGGTCTCCTGGAGGTCTCGGCACCGTCCCCTGGATCAGCTGCTCGTCCCGAGCCGTCTTGTAATGGCCCAGGGGTGCAGGGTTTCTCCGAAGGGCTTAGGCGACCCGTCCTCCTCCTCCACATCGTCCTCCTCCTCCCCCTCCTCCTACTCCTCCCCCTCCTCCTCCTCCTCCTCCTCCTCCTCCTCCTCCTCCTCCTCCATTTCCATATCCTCCTCCATCTCCTCCTCCTTTTCCTCCTCCTCCTCCTCCTCCTCCTCCTCCTCCTCCTCCTTGGGTCGCCTACGGCCCCGAGGGAAACCGTGCACCCAGGGGGCCCGGCGAAGGGCCCCCAGAAGCCAAGAAGGAACAGACGCCAGCCCGTCGTGGTTTCCGGTCACGGCGTCAGGGAATCTTGTCTTCGGGTCAGATCAGGGGCAACGGCAGGGATGGATAGGCTTAGGGTGGGGGGATGCATTGACCCCGAATCGCCCATTGATTGCCGATAGGGGTCAGATAGCCCCGGCCCGTTCCGGAAGGTGCGGATTCACAATCGGGGGCCTATCGCCGATCTATCGGCGATGCATCGCCCACTCCAGGACGATGCATCCCCCCTATGTCAGTCCCCACCTTCGTTGCCCCTCATCAGAACTTGTGGTTGCCTCGGCGAGGCGCACCCTGAGGCTCGAACACCTTGTTGGGAATCCACCGTGCCATGTGTAAACCTCCGGTAGGAGGATTTGGATGAACTGCTTGGTGATTGAATGGTCATTGCTGTCTGCCTGCGCGGTTCCAAGCTGCCCTGCCAGGTTTAACCACCGTCTTTTAATCCACACGGTGGTCAGTTTAGTCGCAGTTGCAGATGGCCCACGCAATATCCCCGCCCCTCTAGCCACTATCTTGGGATTGCGAAATGTGGTAATGGAATTCGGGCAACTGCCTTGGTGCTCCTTGATGTTTCGAACTGGCTCTGCACACCGGCTCAACGACCAACCCATTAACCTCGGGTTTGACTAGAAGTGCCCCTGGCCCAAGGTGCCCCCCAAGATTTACAAGGAGGCCCCCGCGGCCTCCTGAGAACCCCATCGCGAGGTCCAGAGGGCCCCAGGGTCTTCTGGAGCGAAAAACTGGGGGCACCCTGGGCCAGGGGCAGCTTCGGCAACCCCCGGCAACCACCGCTCCAGAAGTTCAAAGCGGAGCAGAGGGCAGACGGCGACGAATCAGACCGAGGGGGGAGGGAGGTCTTCCGGGCCATCGAGTGGGCCGAGCACGAGGTGGACCAGGCGGTGCATGCTCCCGCGTGCCATGTCGCCTCGTCCAGCGTTTCCACCTGAGGGTCCACCGATTCGATATCGGCGCCTGCCGGCTCGATCCGCTGCGATTCTGGCGATCTGTTGTTCGCATGGCGATGCTGTGCACTTTGGTGCAGCCAACCCGATTTGATTGTAAAGGCCTTGCGGCTGGTGCCGCCGACCTTGCAGGGGGAGCACGAGGCGTCTGGGAGGCGACAATCGAGGGGGAAAGTTTCGCCCAGCGAGGGGTGCTTCCCCACCGGTGGGGGGGCGGGTCACAACCCCCGGGGCCTCCCTCCCCTTCCCACCCTTACCGTGGGCGTGTCCCTCTACAGAAGGAATTTTCAAAAATAGTCAACAAAATAGTCTGCAGGGGGACACGCCCGACCTAATCCCACCTCTCGGAAACCCCCCCCCATCCCGGGGCCCCACCCTCTCGGCGGGGAGGGGATCAAAGGGAAGGGGGCGTCCCTGCGACTCGATTGCGACGTTGCTCGATTTCTTTTTCCCCATATCCTAAGATGGGGTTCTTGTTATTACTTGAACGCCTCCTACTCCTTCTCCCTCCTCCTCTTTCCTCCTCCCCTCCTCCTCTTTCCTCATACTCAGACCTACTCATACTCAGACTTACTCATACTCAGACTTACTCATACTCAGACCTACTCATACTCAGACTTACTCACACTCAGACATACTCATACACAGACTTACTCATACACAGACTTACTCACACCCAGACGTACTCATACACAGACTCACTCATACCCAGACTTACTCATACACAGTATTAGTCA